AATGGCGATATCGAAATTAATTGCGAACGCAATTATTTTATCGGAGCTCACACATCACAATGGATAACAGAAAGTGGGAGAATGTGATGACATTTTGTGCGAGGATTTTTGGGTGAGGATCTGTCCCTTTAAAACAATAAATAAATAAAAATTATGGAAAAGCCTAAGAATTTGCACAGAATTATCAGCGTTATTCTGGATGTCAATTCCACATGAATTTACTTGCTTCTTTTCCTTCGACTTATTCTGAACAACATTCACAGTGAATTTTTTCGCATTCTCACTTTCGAAGTGAGAAAAGCGAAAAAATCCGCTTTTACAGCGGATTCTTAATATTTCACATTTTTATTGTTATAAAGTTTAAATAACAATAAAGAGTACGATTTTTTTAATTTATAAATAAAATACTGAAAAATTATTAAATATTGAGAATTATTAAATTACAATGGGGCAAAACATTCATTACAACTTTAATTACAATATTGCAACACCAATCTTTTTTCAACCATTTTCGAAAATTCGCATCTCGCATTTTTTGCTTCTTCCTATTCATTCAGAATAAGGCGAGAATGTGAAAGCGAAATATTTTTTACATGTGAGATATTTCTCTAGTGAATATCCAGAATAAAGCTGGATATTTTAGCTTTGAACGTATTCCTGTTCATATAAGGCTTCTATTTTATTCTAGAAGTGGGAATATGGAATAGTAATCATCCTATGATCCCAAAAATGAGTATTTTTCAGATACCTCGTGATTTCTAGCTCCCGAGACGTTCTTTGTAACTGATTTTTTTGAGACATATATATATAATTCATGGGGACCTTTATTCTGTGATGAAATGAAAACAAACTTTTTGATCAGTTTGTTTTGATAATAAAAACTATTACTTACAAAAAATAGAAATGTGACAAAAAATACAAAACATTTTAGCCAAATTAAAATAAAAAACACTCCAAAAATTAATTGCAAACTTCCACCTGAGTTTTCCGCTTTAATAAGAAATATGAAAGACCTATTTCCCCTCTCTCGTGTTTAATAACAAAATTTGATATCTGTGTTAATCCCCAAATATACAAATTTATTTATATTTTATGTTCATTTTTTTCTTATATTATAGTATATTATTCATATCAATTTTTACTTTTTTGTAATGCGCAATTAAAATGCATGCTACACACTTAGAGAGTATTCTCAAACAACCCCTGTATTTTTTTTTTTTTGAAAAACTTTTCAATTTCATCATTTTCCTCTTTTTGATTTGAGAATACTGTAGATCAACAACTCCAACTTCAATGAAACTTATCGGTGTCATTATCAATTAAGAAATACAATTACAAAATGCTTATAATTAGATTGTACTAGCAAAATATGTTATACTAGATTAAAAAATGCAAATTATAAAACAAATAATCATTCAAAATATATATAGTATATTTAAAGAAAAAATGGAATTGTTAATATGAGAAAGATCAGCATATTCCAAAACGAATATTTTACTAAATATTATAATTGTAATTATTTTCAAATGCCGGGAATAATATTTAAAAAAAAAAATAATTAATTCATACAAGGATATGAAACAAACAAAAAAAACATATTTATTTATAAGTTAAAAAAAACACAATTACACATTCAATTTATTAATAATATTAAGGATTCAACAAAACAAAGAAACACAGCAAATGGATTCAAAGCATTAATAATAATTAGTTATTTAAGGACCTGATGAAGATATCCTCCAAAAATACGAAACATAACATATTTAACAAGAGAGAAATTAATAGCTTTAATAGATTTCAATTTCATGAAATCTACAATGCTATTTATTTTCTTCATGTTTTATATGGGTGTGCTAAATATTTGCCTATCAGGGCCGATATTTAGTCACAAAACTTTAAACGATATATGGGAATTATTGTAAACTTTTGGTGATCTGAAAAACAAAAAAAAAAAAAAAAAAAACAATTTGTGTGTAAACATTTTTTTATAAACATAAATCTAAAAAATCTTATTTTTTTTTTTTGGTGAAAAAAATAAACTATGCTAGCAAAGGTATTCATTTATAAAATCCAAAAGAAAAAAATCACCACCACAATTTTGAAATAAATCAATCAAAATAATTAAACATCGTTACTTTGTAGTGAAACTTTATAACAAATAAAATAAAATTAATCAACTCAAATGAAAGGCAAAAAATACAAAAAAAAAAATCGTTTGAAAACATGCTAAATAACATTTACACATTATAATTATATACATACAATATACATAAATGTATACATTATTGTATTAAATAAGAAAAAACAATATTTAACAAAACCACAACAAATACATATTCATGTAATGAATCAAATACATTCTCGATGTAATGCAAATAAAAGAAAAAAACAATAATAAAAATTATATTAAGAGAAAAAAACGTAGAAGGTTTTATTTTTACATGGGGGTTCTTTGGTGGGTTTTCTAGAAAGACTTTTTTAATTGTTTGTATAAAATAACAATATGCCTTATTCTAAATGTCAATTCCACGTGAATTTACTCACTCTTCCCCTTCGACATTTCACAGAGGATTTTTTCGCATTCCCGCCTTCGCCTTATTCTGAATGAAGTTCGAAAGCGAAAAAATCCACTTTGGGGAAAAATAATTATTCTGAATTACAGGAAGAGTTAGAATGTGATGACATTTTGTGCGAAATTTTATCGAGGTTTTAATTTTTGGCATAAGAAAAAAATCTTAAAATTACGCCGTTTATTATATTGACCAAAAACGTTGATATATGACTTCCTTCGTAAAATATGAATATGCAGATATTATAATAACCGCGAAAAAGTGGCACATTTTCGCGAAATTTGATAAAAATAAAGAAAATATACGATATTACGACATTATTTTCATTATATTCATGATATGCATCCACCTAAAAATTAATTTAAAAATGATAAAAATTAATTTTCAAATTATATCAAAATCACTATATTGTGAAATAAACATTTTAATTTTCGCCTAAATCGCGTAATCCTCCAAATCATTTTATGCGCATATGGTTTCCATGAAATACTAAAGGTTATCTTCCAATCTATGGATGTTTTGCGAAATTTCATTTGACGGCTAAGATGTACTGCACGTTGCATTGAAGTACACAAAAACTCGTAAAACGCGAATAATTTCCGAAAAATCCATATGCCATTAACGCGCATCCGATTTCGATCTATACCTATTTCAATGAGTTCACGAACGTTTGTTGTTATTGTTTTAGCCGTTTTGAGCATTCGCGAGAATTCGGGTATGTTTATTTTCATTCGTGAGAGAATGTCAGAAAGAAACCACCAAACGAAACGAACGTTGTTGTGTGCTCTCACTCGTTTTTTATGTGCGTGCGAACATTCTTTGGCGAATGTTGGTTCGGTAAAGAATTTATCGTCATAAATTCATGAGCAAAAAACGAAAAGAATGTATTTTGAATCATTCGCGAGCGAATTTTTGCGCACCCTGATGAAAACAATAAACAGCTGTTTCACACGCCATATTGTATGTTGCCATATTTTCAAACTTTAATCTATTTTCTTTCAATTACATAGCAGTTATACAACGGATTCTTAATATTCGGCATTTATATTGTTATAAAGTTTAAATAACAATAGAAAGTACACTTTTTTAATCAATAAAAAAAGATATTGAAAAATATTATAAAATTAAATTATAATGGGACAGCACACATTGTAACTTATGGTCTGTTCCTGTACTTTTTTAATAGTAAACCTAGTAAAAGGGAAACATTTCAAAATTGCTCTCAGAGTACAAAATAATTTAAAAAAGTTCGGGAATACAAATCTAGTAAATATGCCAAAATTAGATGGCAATACTTCAAAATCAACATAACAGCCAATCAGAAGTAGGCATTGCTGTTTACCATTTTTACTCGGCTAAATTTCTGGAGTAAAAAGTTTACAAAGAGAAAGCCATTTTGTTTTGTGATCTTTTAAATTTAAATCAATGTTTTACCAGTTTTGTGGGTTGAGGAACGGGTTTCGAGTAAAAAGTTGCAAAACATGTAAAATGAGTAGATTTTTTTTAGGTTCTGGAACGGAACTTTAAATTACAATATGACAACAAAACATTACAACTGAAATTACAATATGGCAAACGAAACATTTTTCAACCACCATTTTCGAAAATTCGAATCCGCATCTCCCTATTCATTCAGAATAAGGCGAGAATGTGAAAGCGTAATATTTTTTTAAATGCGAAATATCTCCCTAGCGAATATCCAGAATAAGGCTGATATTGTTGACAGTCAGCTGTTATTTGTTTAATCTATACGCACCTTAACGTAATATATTAACGGTCATACGATTTATATTTTTAACAATGTGGCAACACGACAAATAATGGACGGGATGACCTGCCGAGTTTGATCTAGTTCCAATCGTTCCTTTCACAAATTACTTTGTGTGAACTAGTTCATACATTTAGTTGAAAGTCGACTTACGTATCCCTAATCCAGTACGGCACAGTTTTTGTTAGAAACGAGAAATACAAAGCAAATATTTAATTAATATTACAGTAATATTATGGTAATTACGCTCGAAATAAATATTTTTTCAAATCTAACAAAAAAATTGGAAGAAACCCAACAAACATATGATTTGTATTGGTTGAGTGACGAATCATAACAACCGAAAAGAAAAACCACCAAAAATGTTCTTATCTTTGTTTTCCCTTCAGTTTTTTAATCATCATCGCTTTTTGTATATATGTGTATATTTTGTTTTTGTAGGATTCCACAACAGAAGATATTATTAATAACAGCGAAACCGATACAACAATCTCGGTACCGCTGACAACAAATGACGACGATGATGTTGAAGAATTAACAACGCCCACCATACCGTTGAATGCAGGCTCAACAGCAACAGCAGCGGCACCACAACCACAATCCATCAGCAGCAGCATTGCCGCTGCCAACACCACAGAGATTGGTGCTGTACAACAACAACAAAATAATGGAAGCGGTAGTGCTGCAACAACATCTGAATCATCATCATCGGTCATTTCACCCTCGGCCATGGCTGATGATACACTGCACGTAGAAATCTCGGACGCATTGAGTGAAAAGGATAAAGTTAAATTTACGGTTCACACACGAACCACATTGCCGGGCTTTTCAAAGCCCGATAATAATGTTGTTCGGCAACATGAAGAATTTGTATGGTTGCATGATCGTTTCGAGGAGAATGAAGAATATGCGGGTTATATTGTAAGTAGTAGTATTGACATTGGAATAGTTTTGGATAATTTAGTTTTGAATATTATTTTGTTGTTGGTTGGTTGTTTTAGATACCACCATGTCCTCCCCGCCCTGACTTTGATGCATCCCGTGAAAAACTACAACGGTTGGGAGAAGGCGAAGGCAATATGACCAAGGAAGAGTTTAGAAAAATGAAAACTGAATTGGAAGCGTAAGTATCACAAATGAGAGAGGCCTTTAAAACAGGAGCGATACAATTATAGACATAAATGACACAAAACAGGGAACAATTCAAGTTTAGGGTCCGCTGGCGGATAATTTTGAAATATTCAACATATAGTCCTTTGATTACGCATTAAAACGATTTAACGGAATTCCATAATTTCTGAGATGTGGGAAACCAACGTCCCGCAGAGACCTATGAATTTCATTAAGCAAATATTTAATCAGAAACAAGGCACCTTTCTCCAGAGCAAACTCCCACTCTACAAGACGCTGATACTACCCGTGCTGTTATATGGATCTGAAGCATGGTTATTTGCGCAATAAGATGAGGCAGTTCCTGGAGTGTTTGACAGAAAAATTCTCCGAAAGATCTATGAGCATTGTAAGACTATAGAACTGCAGCGAGTACGTTGGCTAGGTCATGTTGTGAGAATGGATGAGGATGCTCCAGCACAAAAGAGCGAGCATATTTACATACAGTTTACGAAAAAGGAGAAGGCCACGAATTAGATGGTAGGTTTGGTTAGGTTTGGGGATGTGCAGTCATTTGTGCAGTCACAGCCACGAGAAGAAAAGAGATAAGCAGAGATCTATAGGGGAGAGAAGATTGGGGAAATAAAGAGAGATGATGGCTATAGAGATCAGGGTCAAGGTTGCACTTTCCCAACCACTTTAGGTTTCTAATTATGCTGTTGATTAGAGCAGGTTCAATTGTTGAGAAGATGCTATGACTCGGTGAAAAGGAGCACCCTCTAGTCTGTGGAGCCTGTAAGCCAGGGCTGGACAGTGACATAGAAGATGCTCAATTGTCTCCGTCTCCACCTCGTCAACGCAGAGGCTATAGTAATCAGTAGCATTATGATTCCATTTATTGGTAAAGGCCCTGATATTGCAATGAACAGTAATGATTCCTGTCATTACTCTTATTTCAGCTTTGCTCAGGTTCAACAGTGGCTCTTGACACGTTGAACCTTGGTTCATTGTGCCAAAGTTCATAGGCTCTTTCGTCGAAGAACGTCTCAAAGTTCCGGTAAAGATGACATATGGGTGGTTTGAGATTAAAGCAGGTTCACTTGTTGAGAAGAAGCTATGACTCGGTGGAAAATGAGCACCCTCTAGTCTGTGGCGCCTGTAAGCCAGGGCTGGACAGTAACACAGAAGATGCTCAATTGTCTCCGTCTCCTCCTCGTCAACGCAGAGGCTAAAGTAATCAGTAGCATTGTGGTTCCATTTATTGGTAAAGGCCCTGATATTGCAATGAACAGTAATGATTCCTGTCATTACTCTTATTTCAGCTTTGCTCAGGTTCAACAGTGGATCTTGACACGTTGCACCTTGGTTCATTGTGCCAAAGTTCATAGGCTCTTTCGTCGAAGAACGTCTCAAAGTTCCGGTAAAGATGAACAGTAATGATTCCTGTCATTACTCTTATTTCAGCTTTGCTCAGGTTCAACAGTGGATCTTGACACGTTGCACCTTGGTTCATTGTGCCAAAGTTCATAGGCTCTTTCGTCGAAGAACGTCTCAAAGTTCCGGTAAAGATGACATATGAGTGGTTGATTGAGTCGTCAATTGCTAGATCTGTGGATTGAGATCCTCGTCTTGCTAATTCGTCTGCTCTTTCATTACCCAAGATGTCACGGTGTCCTGGTACCCAACATAGCTGTAAGTAAGTTCTTCCACAGCTGTTCTACACTTGAGGACGACCTCAGATTTGATATAACAAGAGTTGATGGCTTTAAGAGCAGCATATCCTCGAAGATAGTCACCGGTTCAACGACCTCTGTATCCAGACGTTTTACCAATTCCGCTGTCTTCCAAATCGCGAAGATTACAGCTTGGAAAACACTACAGTTGCAATGCAGTTTGTAGGTTAACTAAAGGCCTAGCCTTTCACAGTAGACGCTTGCCCCTGTACCTTCTTCCATCTTGGATCCGTGTGTATAGAAGGCCAGGCCGTCCAGAGGAGGATTACATCGGTTCCAGTCATCTCTACTAGGAATATAGTCGCTTAGTTTTATGCGTTGGTCCAATATCATACCTGGCTCGTTCAAGATACGACCATGGCCAAGGGTACAACTTGCCAGAGGTTTTTTCATGCAGCCTTAGGGCGCTTAATGCTGAGGACCAGAGGCTTAAAGTTTATGGTCTTTCAAATTGGAAGAGCTGCTCACAAGACCAAAGCGTCTGGAAATCTTTTTAAAAGATCGGCTTATGGAACAAATATACTGTCACAATCATTGTTCTATCCTCCACCTTTGTCATGGTATTGTTGTCTTCTATAAAAAAACGCTGTTAACCGAAAGCCATTTGTGCAACAGCAGTTTCCCAAAAAACATGTCTGTTTGGTATAAATATTTCATGTGACTATTTTTTTTAAGATTAGGTCAGACTCAAACAAAGTGCTTGAGATTCCAGTTGTGACCCTTTATATTTTGATAAGTCCTTTTGTTGTTGTTGTAGCGTCTTTGGGGTATATTCACAATGGCTGAGGTGAGTCATTATCCGCAACTGAAGTTTTCTGATATGAATTCATGACCGTTAGCCGCATGAGACTCACTTCGTTTCGAATCATATGCAACTGGAATTTTCTAATATTATTTTCTGGCTCTTCCAATAAGAATATGAAAAACAAACCTCCCCAAACCCATTCTCATATTTTTCTCGTTTTATTTTTCAGTGAATATTTGGCAACATTCAAAAAAACCGTTGCAATGCATGAAGTATTCCTACGACGTTTGGCTAATCATCCCGTTTTTCGTAATGATCAACATTTAAAAGTCTTCTTGGAATATGATCAAGATTTGTGTGCTAAACCGCGCAAGAAGTCAGCAATATTCGGGGGTCTTGTCAAATCATTGGGCAAGACAACAGATGAAATTATATTGGGGGTGACCGTGCGTGATGTAAATGATTTCTTTGAAAATGAATTACAATTTCTTACGGAATATCATAGTCATTTGCGGGAGGCATCATTGCGTACGGAAAAAATGACACAAAGACATAAAGATGTTGGCGAATGTCATCAAAAGATATCGAATGCATTGCGGCATTTGTCGACCGCCGAAAAGGGTTCTATGGAGGCGTTTTGTGCCAAAACGGCTGATATATTTGAGAAAATTAAGGTAAGCAAATTCTCTAATTCTAGATATTTATACTATGTTCTATTAAAAATTGTAAGATTTAATAATTGATTAAGCAGGGTCTGATAGAGATATATTCTCGAAGTCAGCATTTCATTCTGAGGTGTTAATTTCAATACAACAATTGTAGTTCTTATATTTAAATGGTCATGTTTTCCTTTCCCTTTTTTGAATTTCCACAGAACCTCGAAGTACGTGTGGCCAGTGATCAAGATCTAAAACTGGGTGATACATTACGTTATTATCAACGTGACAGTGAGGCGGCCAAAGCTTTACTAATTCGCCGTTTACGTTGCCTAGCCGCTTATGAAGCGACAAATCGTAATTTGGAAAAAGTTCGTGCTAAAAATAAGGATATTCATGCGGTGAGTTTTGTGAAATTTCTACTTTTTATTTTTTGAAGATAAAACAAATCACATCCTGGCAAAAATTTTTCCTAATACGCTAATATTTTTTATAAAAAAATTGTGCTGGCTAACAAATTGTGTATTTGTTATATGTATATGAAAATCCAGACTAGATTTTCAGATTTTTCAGTAGTCCCTAAATTAGGATTCATGGTACAATAAATAGGTACTCCATTTAGCGCAGCTGACTATTCGATTAGCTGTCAAAGTGCATGATTTCCACTTGCATCTGACGTGCAATGTTGCCAACCATTATAAATATTACTAGACAAAAAATTTGACAGATGTTTTTGAAGGTTAAATACAAAACACTGAATGTACAAGAGCCTACCTAAGCCTATTAATAAGATTATTAGGGAGATCAGCTGGATACCAGTTGCTTCTCAAGTTTGATGTCAAAGATCATAAGGGATACCAGCTGTTTCTCAAGTTTGATGTCAAAATCCATTATTGTAAATAAACGTCCATTATGAAAAAGTAAACATTGGCAACATTAGACTTGAGAAAACACAGCCGACTTTCACTTAATAGATCTTCGAATTTAATCCCTCTCTTATTATGAGACAGCAAAGTAGCTCCACGCTCCTTACCTACAAGCTGTAGTGTTTTCCAAGCTGAAATCTTCTCGATTTGTAAGGCAGCGGAATTGATAAAAAGTCTGGATGCATAGATCGTTGAACCGGTGACTATTTTTGTGGATAGTCAAGTAGCTCTTAAAGCCATCAAATCCTGTTACATCAAATCTTAGGCCGTCCTCAAGTGTAGAGCAGTTTTGGAAGAAGTTACTTAAAGCTATCGGCTGTGTTGGGTACCAGGACACCGTGACACCATGAGTAATGAAAGAGCAGACGAATTAGCTAGACGAGGATCTCATTCTACAGATCTAGCAATTGATGGTTCAATCAAACCACCCATATGTCATCTTTATCGGAACTTTGAGGCGTTCTTCGACGAAAGAGCTCTACTTGAATTCGATGTGCAATATTGTATAATGAACAATTTGACAGATGGTCGAGACAAAACCAAAGGTTTTTGTTTCGATACATCACCTTATTATTGCATCATTGTTCCACGCAACGCTCATTCTCTGTAGTGTAAACAAGAAATTATATCAATGATTTATAAATCATAACGATTTATTTTGTCTAATATAAGCGTAAACGGTTAAACACGATTCCAATTTTTTCTATAATCCCATTTACGTTATTCGTTATGATATGAACGTTGTTTAACATAGTTTTATTTGGTTTGCATTTTTCGAACTATAGAAACCTATACATTTGTTATAGTGTTGCCTTTAACGGAAGTAAGCGTTATATGGTGTTACCAACCATTCTATCAAGTTTCATTTCCATTCGTTCCCACGTAATAAAATTCACCACATATGACGCATTGATATCAAAATGCATGTATTGATCAGCTGTTCACATTGAGGTTAGGATTACGTTAGAATGCATATCTAAAAAAAAGTTCATTGGAAATAAAAATACAGAAATTAAAATGGATAATTCTGCACAAAGTAAGGGAAATTAATTAGTTTTATTTTTATAGAAAAATTGCATTAGAGGGACTTATTTCAATTACAGCCGGCATGTGCTAATTAATAAGGTTATGCAGTCGGTATTTTTTTTTTTTTTTTTTGAAGTACAGATTGTACTTCAAAAAAAAAAATAAAATGGTTTGACACATGAATAATTGTTAAACACTTGCATATGTTGAAGCTCGAAAAAAAACACTGTTACGTTCCACCTACTTCAACACTATGGTGTTGATGCGTACGTTAGCTCCTGAGCTAGCGGCGCCCAATTTTTTTTACCGGCGATAATGGATAATGATTATCCTGACAGGATTTTTATTATTAGAGGGAACTTATTTCACATACAGCCGGCATGGGCTAATTAATAAGGTTATATAGTCGGTTTTTTTTTTTTTTTTGAAGTACAGTCTGTAGAAAATGATTTTACACATCCTTGACAGGATTTGCACCTTCTTGGAAATTTATTTATGATTTTTGGAAATTTAGTCCTGATTTATATTAGGCGAGTTTACTTGCGGCAATTTTTATCGTTCTCTTTTGAACTTGCTCCACGCGTCTATACAAGGCAATTCGGTTTCCAAAATATTTTTTTATTTGTTGTTTTTTCACATTTAAATATATATATAAAATGTCAACAAATACGAAATACACAAAACGAATTGCCAGAAAATTGTCGGTACGAGCAATTTTTTTCATTTCTATACCCCTTGCCCCTCTCTCCTACAAACAAAGACTTGCCGCAAGTAAACTCGCCTAATCTAAATCAAGACTTATTTTTTGTTGTTCAGACGATAGTTGGTGCATATTTATATTTTATTGCTAGAGTTCCCATGAATTTGCTTTTGCATGTCCAAGTTGATTTCTTCGATGGGTAATAATTCAGGGGCAATATTGAATAATTTCCAAAAATCAGTTCCTAAGTAAAGATTTTGTTCGAGATCCTGACATAAATAAAAATTCATTGGTGCCAATTTTTTTTTTTTGAAGTACAGTCTGTAGAAAATGATTTTACACATCCTTGACAGGATTTGCACCTTCTTGGAAATTTATTTATGATTTTTGGAAATTTAGTCCTGATTTATATTAGGCGAGTTTACTTGCGGCAATTTTTATCGTTCTCTTTTGAACTTGCTCCATGCGTCTATACAAGGCAATTCGGTTTCCAAAATATTTTTTTATTTGTTGTTTTTTCACATTTAAATATATATATAAAATGTCAACAAATACGAAATACACAAAACGAATTGCCAGAAAATTGTCGGTACGAGCAATTTTTCTCATTTCTATACCCCTTGCCCCTCTCTCCTACAAACAAAGACTTGCCGCAAGTAAACTCGCCTAATCTAAATCAAGACTTATTTTTTGTTGTTCAGACGACAGTTGGTGCATATTTATATTTTATTGCTAGAGTTCCCATGAATTTGCTTTTGCATGTCCAAGTTGATTTCTTCGATGGGTAATAATTCAGGGGCAATATTGAATAATTTCCAAAAATCAGTTCCTAAGTAAAGATTTTGTTCGAGATCCTGACATAAATAAAAATTCATTGGTGCCAATTTTTCTAGATATTCTACCTTTGCGTTAACTTTTGCCATTATTCGGTGTGTTTTCCATGACGCAAGGTTTAATTCCTCAACTATTTCTCTGCCGTGCTTACCTAGAATTGATACTGTGGCTCCAAGATCTACGAGACCTTTTATCTCTTTGCCTTCAATTTTGATGATGGCCTATGGCCTAGGATCTTTTTATAATTTGCATCGGATGATCGGCTTCAGAAATTATTTTCTTTAATTCCGTTATTTTCTTTCTGCCGTATCCTCATTTTACACTTCTTCTGTTTAGTTGATTCTACATCTGTTGCTTCGGAATTATATGGGAAGGTTGTGGTTCTTGAAAATTTTCAGATCATCTCGTTTCATAATGGTGCTGTCTGGCCTCAAGTGGAAGATAATGACGGATCGGAGAATAATTATTGGTATTGGTTGATCTTGACTAATTCGGTTGAGGGTTCATCACGGCGGGTTGGTCGGAGGAACGATGGTTCCCCGCTGCAACCACATTCTTCCTCACGTTTCCCGCATTGCACATTTGTTGTGATGGTATTTTGCCTTCCACATTTAAAACAATATAATCCTCTTTAAACGAAGGACAATCTCTAAACCCATGGCAATTTCAGCAGACAATATGAGTGAAATCTTGGCAGTGTTTTTTTTATATTTTGAGAATTTGTTGGCCAGCTTTTTAGCACTATATTCCACTGTTCAAATAACTTGGCTTCAAACAGCACATTATACCAATAAAAAAAAAGGAAAATTGTTTTTCCAAATATAATTTTTATTTCAATAGCTGTTAATTGTTTAAACTCTCTGTCCAATAATGTACACCCTTTTTTATGTTTCACTTTTATTGCTTTGTTTTTTTGTGAACCTTAAAAAACAAATACTTGCTTTCTTCTACCAATAACAAAAAATATATAACTGCAGCCTTTGGAAGTTCAAGAGGTATATGGTACTTGTTTTATTTTATATATACATACAAATATATAAATTATAACGTTAATAACAATAGCAAAAAAACATAATTAACTGTAATGATGATTTCATAACAATCTTAAACAAAATTATAACCACATTTTTAATTCATTTAAAAACAAAAAACAACAAGAAAGCAATACTAAAAACACTTCACTCTAATTACACACATTTAATTTTCATTTACTTACTAATACAAAAAATTTGAAAATGCACGTTTTGTATACATAGAGGAATGTTGTGTGTATATTATTTTTTATTTATTGTAAGAAAATGTGAATTTACATTTGAAATATTTATTTTTTCCTTCTTCTCTCATGTTTTCCAATTTAGGCCGAGGCAGCCCAAGCTGAAGCTTGTGAAAAATTCGAAACAATGTCGGCCTGTGGTAAAGAAGAATTGGTCAGTTTTCGCAATCGCCGTGTACAGGCATTCAAGAAGAGGTAATTATTTCTTATTTTTTAATATGTAATATAATTAATATATATATATATACTTTTTAATTTTTATTTTCAGCCTTATTGAATTAGCTGAATTGGAAATAAAACATGCCAAAAATCAATATGAATATTTACGTCAATCTTTATTAGCTTTAAAAGAAATTTAATACTTATCATTGCTTTGATTAATTCTTCTATTGAACTATTTTTTATTACAATTATTATTACTATGCATATTATTATATAGTATTTGTTTTATTTTTCTTTCTATTATATTATTCCATATCATAATCTCTTTATTATTATTTTCTTCTTTGTTATCTCATATATATGTATGTATTATGTATTTCTTCTATTATCATTCCATAACAGAATGTTGAACATTCTTCTGCTCTTGTCGTCTCTATTTTTGCAATATGAAACAAAAGAAACATAACAAACAAAAATCTTATTTACAAATTGTATTTTTTATTACATATTTTTACTTATAAATATTATATATACTTGGAACACAAACAAAAGAAATAAAATCTTGGAATGTATAAAATATATTATTTGCTAAAAGTAAATATCTTAATAATAAAGTCATATTTATATTTGTGAAATTTAGAAGGAAAGTGCTGTTTTTATTCCGGAAGTAAATATTCGAAATAAGTCATATTAAATGTAAACAAAATTTAATTTGTATTTTTCCCATACAAAAAATTCACCAATAAAAATGAAGGGAGTTTTAAAAATGTAAGTATTTTTTAAAACATAGGAAATTGAATAACAAATATATAAATGATCCTTTGTATTTTCTAAAAATAAAACCCAAATGCAACTTTTTAGTATCCATAATGGAAAGTAATCCTGACACCGGACTTGGAGTTTTTAAAGGTAGAAAATAAGTAAGGTCAAATAAAAATTACCCATTTAGAACGTTGTTTTCTTCCGAAGAATATTCGTTTCGGTTGGTAAAACAGAGAAAAAACATATCTAGCCCAATCATGAATAACAATTGTCCGAGATTTAACAATATGGCAGTGAATCAGAGAAATGAAATTGCTCGGGAAATATCTTGTGCAATAATTGTTTGACGAATGGACATAACACAAGAGAATGTTTCAGTACGCTTAGATGTTTATACTGTAAGCGAAACATCACACTAAACTCCATATTGAAAATCCATATCCTTTACCTACAAGTACGGACTCTGCATGACTTTGTTTGCAAGGTCCTCCTTCGGGAGCAAATATACAAACAATATCGCATGTCACGACAGATGACATGTCAAGTACATCCAGTTCTTCAGTACAAAGATCAAGGTTAAAATCTAATTTGGCAATGAGTGAAGATGATGTTTCGCAAACAGTGCTTGTAAAAATCAAGTGCAATGAAAAAAACTTTCACAGCGAGAGATTTATTAGATACAGGATCTAAAAGATCATTTATAACCAGCAAAATGATAAACCAAATTGGTGTTGAAACAAGTGAGTCTAATTTCGACATTAGCGGAATAAGTGGTTCAGTAGTTGCACATACTAATAAAGCGTTTAACATAAAATTGTGTGGAAATGCAAAACAATGTGATAAGCGTAAATGCTTTAGTATATTATCAAGCAATAAAAATCCGACTGATTTTATTCCAATATTTGACCGAAATGAAATCCGTGATTTAAAACTTGCAGATTCTGTATTCTTAAAATCGAATGAATGGAACTAAAACAAATCTCTTTGGGAGTATGTTAGCTCAAAATTAAATATTTGTAAGAGAATTCTAGACAAGATAATTTCAAAAGAAAAACATAAGAATATTTTTATAAGCCAAAATAAATTTATGGGTCGATTACGGATGGTAACCATAGTTTAGTGGCGTTACCAGTTGCCAAATTTAAATTATGGATGGTAACTGTTGTCAACTTCAGTTGCTTCAAATATAATTTTTCGGCAACCATTTATTTATGGTTGCTGTTTAGTGTTTAGCAATAAAAACTGTAATTTGTAGGCTTCCAATAATGGTTAAATTACTACGAAAGAACAATTTGAGGTCTTAATTGCGCGGATGGAAGCTCAGCCAATTGTAGCACGCGGCGTGCGGTGGTGAAACCAAAGCTTCTACCGATGATGTGTGACCTTAATGAATGTCAGAGAGTGTGGATTCATTTTGAGGCAAAGTTGAAAAAGAAGATGGCGCAAAATAAAAGAAACCATAACATCACCGTTGGTGGACCATCGCAAAAAGTGTCGTTATCAGCATTGGAGCAAGCGGAAGCGGACCTGCTACAAATGGATTTTACATTAAATCCAGAAGGTGCCCTTTTTGGGGTTATATCAGATACATTGGATGTGGAGGAACTGCTTGAAATCGAGCCAAACACTAACAAGGAACAGGAAAATGTAGTGAAACAAGTTAAGATGGACAACGAATGCCAGATTTTACGAAAAAGAGTACGGACGGAAGATAAAAAGGTCGATATACTAATAGAGCAAACGGCAAATTTGGAAATTAAAAAATAAAACCAAAATTATTAAAAGAACAACTGCAATGTCTACATAAGGGAAATATGTAATTTTTATTTGAATATTATTCTTTGTATTACATATTTGATTAACTGAAATGAAATATTATATTTTTAAAATTTTATTCATTTAAGCTCTGCGTAATTGTTCTTCGTATATCTAAAGCAATATAACTACCACTTTCATTTATGATTGGTACTTGTAGGAACTTCTTCCCAATGAGCAATATAATGCCTGCCAATATTGTACAATGCGCAACACGCATTCACAATAGATATGCACTTATGAGGCGTATAGTGCAGGCCACGTTCTGCAGAAAGGCATCTGAACACACGACTTAGAACCCAAATAGTTCGCTCAATTATATTACGGGCCTTTGAATGAACGATATTGTATTTACCTTCTGGCGAATGCGGTTCGGCGAATATTTTTGAGGACTATCAATAGTCGTGGATTTTTTAAAAAATATGTTTGAGGACTTTCAATAGGCGTGGCTTTTGTTTTAAAAAATATTTTTGAGGACTATCAATGGGCGTGGATTTTGTTTTAAAAAATATTTTTGAAGACTTGGGATAATTACATTAAGCTTTGTAAAGCATAAGCGAAATGAATAGGTTCTCTTTAGTCTACATTTTCAATTTCAAAGCTTTATTTTGAAATCTGACACTTCTTGTATTTTTACAATATTCTGCAAAAGCTTACCTTCACTTTTAAATTGTGCAATCATTTTAAAATGTCCAGATGGCAACTCATGTGTGATATGAATTCAATTTGTTTAACTTTTTTCAAAAAAGTACAAATTTTTATATGAATTAATTTTGTTTTAATAAAATAAACTAAACTACTTTAATGGGTTGTGTTCTGGTATAAGTTATGCAAATCTTGTCCAATTTTGGTTAGGAGTAGGGGCACACGTTTCTTCTTCTGGTGTTTCTGCTGTTATAACATTTTCCTCAACATTGTAAAACATTCACGATTTTAGCTCTCTGGAAATAGCAACATCCTCTATATATGCTCTAAGTATAATACTATTCTTTTTTGGTCTCAATTCTTTATTTCTTTTTAATTATTTCGTAAAAGACAAACTCTTTAAATTTACGCAAAGTATGAAAAAGACCCAAAGTTGATTAAAAATATGCCATATTCCAAAAATTTTACTCCTATATTTTCCACGATTAGCGGGTTTTTCTCTCGAGAGAAATGCTTTCCGTGGGAATAGAATTTCTCCCACATTTTGGCGACTGGGCTGAATAAGGACTGAAATTTGGGACCATGATATGTACGGGTATGCCATCTATACATCCGACAACACCCGGGAACTTTGTTTTCGAATAAAAAATTTTATTCTTCCCCTTTTCCTCCTCTGTTAATTTGAAAAAATCCAAATTTTACAGTTTTTGAAATCATAGAGGGCTTTTCGGAAACCAGGGTTTAATGCTTCAACTAAGTACACAACGGCATCTTTTAGTAGGCGAAAATACGCGTTAAAGCTAAACATAAACATCTACTCAAAGTACGGATGGTATTTCTAATGGATTGGATTTATCTCTTAAATGCCTTCTAATAGATGATACGCCTTGCACATAATTTTCATAATCAAAAAATAGTTCCAATGAGCTTATCATCACTTGAAATTAGTTTTTCTGAAATATTTTATTCATTTTTTTTTTTTTTTTTTGTTTACAATATTTCTAGTTGCAGAAATGTGAAAACAGTATTATCGACAGCAACTGATAAAAGTTGATTTTCATAATGTTAAGTTTTATTTCAGTGGCGTTGCCAGTTGAAATCACAACTGGAGTTTGGTTGCTACCCATAATCGACCCATTAATAACTTCTTACTTTTTAAATAAATAATAATATTCTTTTTTTATAATTCATAAAACTCAAGATGTTTTTATTCATAAGCTTTGTGGCAAATATTTTGTTGTTTGTTTTTGGGGTTTTGTTATGTGGAGGGCAATAAAAATAATAACTATTACTATTGACAATTCAATAAAACACATAATAGCTATCTAATATTTTATTTAAAAAATAAAATAATAATATTAATTTTCATAGAAAAAAATATTAGGCAAACTGTAAAAATTAACACAACAATATTTCAACTTTGTTGTAGCTAAAAAAAGGGCACGTTTTTATGAAAACAAATAAAAATAAATGAAGTACTAAAAACTAAATGTATCCGTTTTTAATATCACTAATTAACATTGAATTTAACGTAGAATTACTTATAATAAATATTTTTTTTTTGTTTTACAAAGTAAAAAAAAGAGTTAAAAATAAGAACTTAAACTTGAATATGTATAAGTTTTTTTTATATACAAAGTGCATAAAATTATATGTATATAAATGATCTGGAATACATTCGACATAATTTGTTCTCTTCAATTGCCATCATAGATTTTTTGTAACTAAATTGCGATGACGATTTTTAATCGTCTATTAATATCGGTTCAGACATATTGTTGGCGGAGGTATTCACAACCTTTTGTGATTTATTAAAATCAGCGGATTTTTTCGCAGGGGACGTGGTATCATTTGCTTGTCCTGGTTTTGTTTTACGTACAAGCATGGATTTTTGATGCTAAAAATAAAGAAAATAAGAAGATAGAGATTTTTGTAATTAGTATTTTGACTGGGGGAGAATTATGAAAAACAAAATGAATTTATTGCAAATTAATTTCCAAATCAAGGGATTTGAAAGCGTTACATCAAAAATGTTAGGTTAGTATAACATGACGTTTTGAATATAAAGAAAAATTGTTTTATTTACTGATGTATGCATAGAAATTGAATTCTGATTTACATAGTAAGGCAATATTTTTTTTTTTTTTTTGAATTTTTAATGGGGCTGAAATTCCAATAGGAACTACTATGAAGTACTTAGGGATTACTTTAAATAATCTATTAAAATTTAATAAACATGCAAGGAATGTTTTGGCGAGACCATATAGAGTACTAGTATCGTTTTCTAGAATTTTAGTAAATAAAGACCTTTCAACAAGAACTAGGCTTCTTTTTAGAACGAAAAGTTTTACGACACTGTATTGGTAAATATTTTGAAGAAAACTGTAAACGGTATTCTAACAGGGTAATATATGGTGAGTCCAAAATTACTCCTATTAGGCTATATGTGTGCGACTTAATTTCCAAATTTGTTAATCGTATTAGATTTTATGAAAATTACACCTAAGTCTGTTTTCACACGGTCTTTTTGTACACGGTTTTGATATAACACGGTTTGAAAATTGAAAGTTTTTTTTTTTTAAATTGAGTATTCTTAATTTTTTTACACGATTTTATTCCATTTAGCACGATTTGAAATTTTATGTACTTAAATTTTTTTGTCAAATTTAATTTTGCGATGTATGTTCATATCACAAAAAAGTTTTTATGAAAGAAAAAAGTCTGAAACCATCGATAGTATCGATAGTTTGCGAACACTAGCTTAAAGATTTATGTGAATTCTCCTTTAGCGCGTACAAACAATTTTTACTGGTGAAATCAAATGTGAATAGCACTAATTTAGGGGAATTCCCTTTTTTACATGTTTTTTTTAAACGGCTTCTTCTGGAACCTATCTACAGTGTAAAAACAGACTTAGGTGTATGTTGTTGTTGTTTATGACAACCAGAAAACAAGTAGCTGGACAAATTGTAACTATCTTTCCCCAATCGGTTATTTGAATGAAGTCCCACCGAAATTCGATGTCAATACCAACATTCGGTATACATTTTATGATGGGGTAGAGTGATGGCTGGAATTATATGTTTGTTTTTATTTTCGCCCCTTCAAACGGCCTAATGTAATTTGTGCTATAATTTATTAAAAACTTGTTACTACTTACATTTTGCATTTGTACAGCTTTACTGGCGGCCATAAATTTCCAGTGACCCTGTTGGGTGTTTTCATTTGACAGTTTTTGTATATGTCTGAAAAAAAAAATTATTAATTTACGAACATAAATATTTAAAATGTAATATTTTTTTAATTCTGCATTGATCCTAGAATATATATATATATATATTTTTTTTTTTTTTTTGCTAAGAAGTTTCAGCCCTCTTGACATTCGACTATATAAATCCACTATAGAATACCACATTAAATTTATTGGATAACCTCTATCAAATTCAAATCCTGTTCGGACAATACCCATTTACTTCCCACATTGCTTCTAATCTTATATGGTATATTCGAACTTCTATACTAGTGGCCCTGATAAGAGGGAACGTTCTTTATATTCTATCACATCACATTCGTACTACTGTAGAGCTTGACATTAGATTGGGAGAAACTATAATATTTTGACCTATACAGACGTTCTCAATTTAAATTTGGAATCTATTGCTATTCTCTCATTTCATTTTCGTTATTAGCATATGACCGCTACTTTGTAAGCGAATGTGGCAAATACACTCCAATATCGAGCATAAATATATATTGGGTAGCATTTAGTACTAACTTCATCTCCATTTATTACCTTTTGCACTCTAGTAGTACTTATTTCAAAAACTAAGTCCAAGTTTCATGACTTGATTTCTATTGGTCCAACCACATCTACATTTTAGTACCATTTCGCACACATTAATTTGGTACCATATAGTTTACATAAGTACGAATTTCCAAAACCTCCTACATAGCCCAAATCTACACTGTCTGTTCACCTAAAACCAAATTGTTTTAAATTAGTACCATTCATACCGTAATCGTACACTCCAACAGTAATTTTAATTCCCAATTTGAGAATTGTATCAAATTAAGTACCATTTAGTACACATAAGTACAAATTTCCAACATTACCTAAATATCAATATTTTATCGAAATTAATACCTATAAGAACAAAATTTCCAAAACTTCCTACATACCCAAATACTTCACCCCAATAGTGATCCTAACTCTATCGGGTCACCTAAATCCATATTGCATCAAATTTATTGCCATTTAGTACATATAAGTACGAATTTCCAAAACTACCCAAATCTTAAACTCCTAATGTAATTTTAATTTCAAATTTTAGGGTTTCAACTCAATCGAGTCGTCTAACTCCACATTGCATAAAATTTAGCACCTTCTTATATAATTTCAGAAGTTTTACTGAAATGACCCAAGGTATTTTTATAGAAATTCTGAAAATCGCTTTTGGAAACTCGAAGGTTTTCATGTGTAATTACAGAATTTCCGAATGATATATAAATATATATATATATATGGACCTTTATGATGCAGTTCATATTATTTTATGAGCTTTTTTATGTTCTTAATAATAAAACATCATCAATGATAATTATAAAACATCGTCAATGATAAAAAAAAATCGTCATTTATGAATAATCTTCCAAACCATCCATCTATTTGGAATACATGTCCCGGAAACTAGCATACATACATTTAAATTAATAATACACAAGAAAGAAGAAAAAAATACTTACTTATTCAGATAATTATTGACAGCTGAGAGACCAATTAATTTTAAAATACCCACAGTGGGTACTTTAACATAAAATTCGTCCATAACACGTTTGGCAACAAATTTGCATTCCGTATAGTTTGGCGATACAATATAACCATATTGAATGTGCGGTGGTAATGTAGCTATACCACTACTAGGAGCATTGGAGTTCTCAAAACGGTTGGGATTTGCGGATGATTGTTCTTTTGCCATGAGAGATTTTGCATTGCTCTCTGCTGCTGCTGATGATTTATCAACATTTGTGGCGGCGGGAGATGAAATCGGTCTTTGCGGCGATCGCTTAATTCCGTGTGAGGCTGCTGCTGTTTGTATAGGTGTGGAGGTCTGTTGCTGTATTGCGGCGGTGCTGGGTTTCTTTAGCATTGGTGATACCCCAAAAGATTGTACACTTGTTATGGTCAATCCAGAATTTGAGGTGCTATTGGTAGCTGTAGATGAAGTAATTGGCGATGTTACTGGATTAATATTTGTTGTGGATGTCTGGGCACTGGTGGTGGTGCTAATGGCAGGTTGTAGTTTTGAATATGTAACACTTGTTGCTGTTGTTGATGATGTCCCAGACCCAGTAGTAGCTGTGACTTTTGGTAGTGCAGCAATGGTTAGAGATTTTGCCGCAGAGGAGGTCTGAATTGTTTGAGTTTGAGAAGCAACACCTGTTGATGGCAAAGATAATGGTGGTGGTTGTTTGGTCGCAGCAATCCTCACTGAGCCAGAGGGAATTAATTGTATTGTGGCACTTGGCGAACCAATTGATGACATACCACTGATTTTAATGGGATTCGTTGTATTTAAAACTTTCTTTGGTTGCTGCAATGCAATGGAGGAGGGAGAACCGATATTTGTTGTTGTTGTTGTTGTGGTGTTGGTGGTAATATTACTATTATTCACCTTACTACTATATACCAATCTATTTTGTAGCTGAGCATTGCTATACCCAGAGCTGGACGTCATTACCGGCAATGATGATGGGGGTATTTTAACAACTTTATATGGAACCCCACGTGCACTTTTTATACAGAATTTTGCAGATGGAATGCCGACTCCACCGCCGCCTGTAGTATTTGTTGTTATTGTTGAGCTCGTGAGCGTTTGAGAAATTGACATGTTATGTGTTGTTGCGGCAACAGCAGATTTCTGAGGCGAACTATTGGGTTTTATAACAATAGAAGCAGCCGGTTCCTCATCACCATCCACAAAGCTAACATCGAACACCAACGGTTTTGATGGCTTTGTATTTGCATTCGACGGAGGCGTGGGTGGTGGTGCAGTGGGTAATTTAGTGCTGATATTAGAGAATGTTGTTGTGGTTCCACCACCACCAGCAGCAGCATTTAAATGTGTAATGTTATCACTTAATTTGGTAATTGTTGTTGAACCAATTGTCGATACCGTACTCAATGGCTGATCGACTTGTATATCTTGGATATTTTCGGGTAATATTTTATTTATTACCGCACTGACGGCAATATTATGCGATACCCGATCAAATGGATTCTGACAGACAATGGAGACACGGCGTCTTTTTTGGGCAATTGGTTGTTGGGTATAGGTTGTAGAGGAGGCACCAGTGTTGGAAGTGTTGGAGGAGTTTGGTATAATTATGTCTTTTGTTGTGTATGTTTGGGGGGTCTTAAGGACTGTTGTAGTTGCAGCAGCAGAATTTTTACTTAGTTGATTGATATTTTGTATTGTTGCCGGAGGAGTGCCTAAGAATGTTGCCACTGATGATGGTGCTGGTGGTGCAGGAAGTTGCGTGGGAACAACTGTTGCCGTTGCTGTCGCTGTGCTGTTATTTGCTAAAGTCACCACGCCACTAATTATACTATTTGTTGGTAAATTTAAAAATGATTGCTGTGCTGCCGGATTTACAACCGGAGGTAATTGTAAAATAGGTTGAATAACGGTATTTGTCTGGGCAATTTTTAATAGGGAATTATTTGAGGTGGTGGCGGGTGGTGGTTGTGCAGCTATTGTGGTGGCTGGTGTTATTTGCAAATCATTGGCCACCGAGGATATTGTAAAATATTTATAGCTTTCAGCGGAATGAGGGGCGTTTGAAGCTTTCGAGCTTGACGCAGCCGGATTATTATCCACCTCATCGATGATCATACAATCTTCATCGTCATCCGTATCATTCGCCTCAGCATTTCCTCTCATTGCATTATCCTGCTGGCCAAGCACTTGCCGTTCTTCCGGCGATTGTACACTCTCCATTGCTATTGTTTTAACATAATTCTCATTGTAGGCTGTCGATGTTGGCTCAATTTCAAAATGTGTCTGACCATTCATTTGCAATAGCCAAAATGCCTTGGTCCTCTCATCCGCTGGAGTTTGTATGCCATGTTTCAATTGATATAATTCCCTTAGCATCATTTGGCCATCAACACTTTGCAAAAGTATCAATGTGGGCGGTTTCATATTCATATTGAGAGGTCCAAAATAGATTTTTCTCCCCGACTTGGGTGTAACGAAGGCATCGAAGGGCGCGTTTTGAAAGAATTGCAATTTGACGATTTTATTTTTTTGTTTGGCAAAATTAATGACCTTTTGTATGCGATCCAATGACACGAGATCACGAAAATCTGGCACAAAGATGTGTGAGAAATCATTGTGCAGATCCAAGACCAACCATTTGTGATTGTCTTTGTGGTCGTGCGGCAAGTGTATTTCGTTGACATCCTGTGGTGTAACTTTACGAAATTCAATATTTGTACTCATTTTGGCATACGAATCCATTTTATTGGAGCTTATTTCATTTGATAAAATCGGATCACTGGTAAATTTTCGTTTTCGAGGATTCGTATCGGGTAGCGGCGAGGGTATGATGCTCACAGGCGTATTGGGTATTATTTGATTGCCCCCCATAACGGGAGGGATGCCAATAACATTGCATGCTTGTGGTGGCTGTGTGGAAATTGGTGTTTGAAAAATGTTTGGCAACGTTTGATGGGAGCCGGCATATGGTGGCGGTAGTGGTGTTATTGGAGTATTCAGAGTCATAGTTACTGACTCAGACATCATCATTCCACTCCCACCAACACCACCTCCAATAACATTTGTTGCGGATTCCACCACCAAATTATTTTGTAAATTCGATTTCTTATTCAACATCTGCTGCTGCTTTTTCTTTTCCTCCTTTTGCCGTTGCTTCACCAACGAAGTGCACAAAATATTTATTTTCTTTGTCAACGAAGGATGCGTTTCGGGTGTTGGTTTATTACACGCCATGGCCGGGTCCGCTTTAAGGAATCCCTTTACCACCCAATATGTTAGCTTGCCCTGCATTACGATAGCCAATTTGGTGGTGTGTTCATTACGAACATTATGCAAAAGCATTTTTGCCATGAGGGGCACTCGATCCGGTTTTAACGCTGTTATATTTACCACACCCATTGCACCACAAATCATTGGCATCATATTGCGTATGGTTGCCACCAAATAGGTACCCTCTTTCGATTTCACTTGCCAAATGAAGGCAAAGCCCCGACAAAAGGCATCCAAAAAATTCGACCATTTCATGATACACAAAATATCGGTGTTCGGTGCCGGTATTATGTGACTTTCACGCTTCAGAGCAAAATCGACGTCTTGCATTTTTTTACTAACCAAAGAATTCATGGTGCGTATAACGCTATTGTAGACATCGCGTACATTTTCATTTTCCGTTAGCAAGGATAACTGGGCGGAATCGGATGGGTCTGTTTGTTGGCTGTTAACATCCATCAGTGTTGAATTTGGCATATTACTATCAGCAGAATCAGGTGCGGCAAAGACTGGAGAATTCACGCTTGTTACGGAGGTTAAATCTGCCAAATGCTGTTTCAGTTTTTGTACATCTGCCGTTGAACCGGTCAAGGTTTTTGAGATATTTGCCTTGGCATTTAATGAAAAACAATTCGATATTTTGGGCAACATTAATTCGGTGTTTTCTGCAGGACTATTAAGAGCTGTGGAAGAATTTGTAGAAGTTCCCTCCGCCGCCGATGCATTACATTCGGCAATATTTAATCCCGACAAAGTACCAAATTCTTTCATTGTTATAATGGCATCGGGGGATGAAACGGCATCTTGGACTATTGCAGAATCATCATCCATAGCTGAGGCAGTAATTTTTAGTTTTGATGGCATATCCACCGCCTCTTTCTGAATAACCTCATTTTCATCATCATCATCTATGAGATCAACAATATCATGTGGCTGAGGTTGGTCCTTTACTTCATCATTGATTCTCGCAGAATGTGAGCCTTGTTTTCCATTATTTTTATTGGATTCTTGCTGTTGTTGTTGTTTTGTCTTTCCTCCTCCTACTCCATGCGAATCCTTTTCCTTTGCTGCCTTATTTGCTTCTTGTTGTTCCTGTTGTTTTTTCATTTTTTCATTATCTGCTTTATGATAATATACGGATCTCATTACGTGTTCATTGAGTAGTAATCTTGTCTGTTCCGTTTCATTTTCCTTGATGTAATTCAAAACATTTATCCTTCTCTTACGATTGCAGTACAAAAACATACGTCTGGGTATGGGTATTAGTCGCCTACAACCTTCGGGACGTGGGGCAAAGAATCGCTCTCGCACCTCTTCCAAACTACGTTTGGGTTTATCCGATTGCGTTTGGCTTTCCGATGCAGGTTCTTGCGATTGTTTCGAGTTCTCTTTAACGTAAGACGATTTTTGTGGCGGCTTCTCTTTTTCACGTTTTTCCGGTTCCTCTTTTTTATGTGTATTATAACTCCTCCTGGGTTTCCCATAATCACTGCGCCTTTGTTTTAATGTGTGTTGTGTTTTTGATGGCGCACCTGGTTGTTCATATGACGAATCATTGTCCTCCGATTCCTCACTTTCACTCTCTGCTAAATCTTTAGATTTCGATTTTGACTTCTCCACCTTTTCAAAGGTATAACGAGCCTTGGTGGTTGTTGCCTTATAATCCGTGGGTGTTAACAACATTGTTTGCTGCTGATCCCTATCTCCACCATGTTCGATGGTTGTGTTATTTTCTCCCTTTTCAATTATCATTGGTTTACCCTCCAAGGCTTTGCCTTTACAGAAACATTTATATAGGTTATGTACTAAACACCATGGCGCCACATTATCCATATCTTTCAATCGCACCAAATTCACGGTGCAATGCTTTAATTGTTCCAAAACGGTATCTTGTATATAGACCGGTTCACGTATCTCCTTTACTTCAACTGCTAGATTTTTCTCATTATCGATGGTTGTGAGCGCTGTCTTTTTGGGTGAATTTTGTCTTGACAACTCATCATCGGTATCATCTTCATAGTATTCATAACGTTTGGGTGCCTTAGTGCAGCGACGTTTCTTATCATTGTTCGTTTCATTGATGAGGAGGGTTTCGTTTTCGGTGAGTACCACAGTGGATGTGAATTCCTTTTCCATGCGTGCCAAACGGGCAGTGGCCTTACGTCTTAACATAAAAGCATCCTCGGTGGTTATTGTGCGACCCTAGCCAGAGAGATAAACCATATATAAAATGGGAATGTGAATCCAAAAAAATTCTTATACTTACATCGGTTTCAAGACGTAATATCCTTGATTGATTTGATGTCTTACACGTACACTCCCACATACATTTCGTTTTGCCACAATGTTCGCGTACGTGTGCCTCTTCGGCCAGGCTATCGCAAACACAACCCATGGCACAATATTCCAAATGGCAAGGCTTTTTTTCTGTGAAGTGGTTGGGGGAAAAGTTTTTCACATAATTTTCTATTAGAAATGATTTTTTTTAATTAAAAAAACTTACCCTTTTCCGGTTTAACAGCTGCATCAATAATCGTTGCATTAAGACGCCTTAGTTCCAATCTGTAATATATATAGTAAGGTGCTTAGTAGTGCGGTAATATGTAAGTATATAATCTTATAAAAATTATAGCATAGGGGGTAAATTTCCGAGTCGACTTTTTTCTGGGCGATCTTCTACCTAAAATATATTTATAAATCTCAAGAACTTCTAATTGAATATACATATATATTTCTGAAGGCCTATATAAGCTGGCCTTCTGGCTTTTGAAGACATTTACAACGTCTAAAAATCATTGGAGGACCTCTCGAGGTTTGTTCTACTTTAGTAAGTCACCTTTGGAAACCCTATTCGATATCTTCTACTTAAATATATCGTCTATAGAAGTCTGCTATTTTGACAAGATCAAAGGGTTATATACCTCGAAAGAAACAGAGCTATCGCAATTCTTTTACAATACTTTGGAAGACTATCGAAGACACATAGATGGTTTTCTGTGTTTTGAAAGATCTTCACAGCGTCTAATCTCTTTATATGAATTTTGAAAAAGAAATCTGATACTGCAGTGACCTGGTATGTTGTCCTTATCACTTTCCTACTCATAGAAATTGATGATTTAGATCTACGCTTAGAAGTTACTGATCAGATAGATTTTGAGGTCCACTAATCATCACTACAACATCATCGGCATAAGCCACTACTTTCGTTCGCAATTGGTCAAATCTGACAAGAATCTCGCTTATCACTAGAAGCCAAAGCAGGGCGATAGCATTCCGCCTTGCCACTGTGCCTCTTATCTATCCCCAATGTCTACATTGATTATCCTGCTTTTCAGCATAACATCAATCCAAGCGACCAGGGTAGGGCGTTTCCAGGACAGAGGCGTCTACGATCCGAACCGACCCGAGTATATCTCGGCCAACGTCTGTCCCCTCAGCCCATTGTGTGAAAGCAATAGGGCTGCTACAACAACAACAACCAGGGTAGAGAATATTCCCGTTTTAATGAGAGCTGAGCGAATAGAGTCCATTTTAACGTTGACATCAGTTCCTTTCTGATCTCAAGATCGAATAACTTTTCCACGTTGTTTTCAAGAGAAAGGAAGAAAGTCTAATGGGTCTGTAGTGTTTCGGTAAAGTGTGACTAGGTTTCCCCGTCTTGGGAATGACGGTCACCTTTACTTCTCTCCACTGACTTGGTGTGAATGACAACTTGAGACAGGCCCTGAAAATCTCCCGCAGTGTTATTAAGATCTGCTCTGAGGCTTTCTGAAACATTGCATGTATTATACCATCTGGTCCAGGAGACTTGTAGGGTTCAAAAAGTGTTAATCGCCAATACCAGTTTTGAATAGATTGTTATGTATTATACCATTGCATGTATTATACCATCTGGTCCAGGAGATTTGTAGGATTGAAAAGTATGAATCGCTAATAAAAGTTTTGAATAGTTTGTTAGGACTTTTAGAGAAAGGCTAATCGGTCTGTAGTCTTTCGGTAAAGTGGTTTCCCCGCCTTGGGAATGATGATGACCTTTACTTCTCTCCACAGACTTAGTGTGAACGATAACCTTAGGCAAACCCTGAAAATCTCACTCAGTGTTATTTAGACCTGCTCTGGGGCTTTCTGAAACATTGCATGTATTACACCATCCGGTCCAGGAGATTTGTATGATTGAAAAATGTTAATCGCCAATATCAGTTTTGTATAGTTTGTTAGGTCTTCTATCAGAGCTTCCCCGAATATAGTAGTATAATGATCTGGAAGCTCAATGTGAAATCTTTATTATCCGTCTAAAGATTACGATAGAAAGGTGTTTCCTTTCATAATATAAACTTTATCATAAATAAGCTAATTTAGGCGAGGTTATATAAATTGCATAATTTCTATTCGTCGACATATCTCTCATACTTACAATACACGATTTTGTTTTGTACGCTTTTTGGTTTCACCACTGTTTGAAGCAGCTGATGATGGACGATTTGTTGTTTTTTCAGTCTTAACGCATGGTGATTTTATATCATCGGCAATCTCTTCTTCACACATCATATCCGGATCATCTTTGATAAATGAATTTTCACTACAGCTAATGGCGACAGTATTTATCATATCGCTGACAACATCGGCACAGGTTAATAGAACATCATCTGCAGTGGTATCTAAATTTTTACGGAATGTAAAGTCGGCCTTTGGTACCAGTTCAGTATCTAAACATTGTTCAAACGATTCATCCAATTTTTCCGAACGATCTACAACCCTACGTACCAGTACATGATTACGATCATTTAGGTAGGGTATTACAAATGTAAATGATTTCCGAGGTATACTATCGGTGGCGGCCTTAACAGCATCTCTCAGCGAACCGGGCAGTTTTAGCGTGGAAACGCTAAATTCGGCCCATTCTCGTGATATGTCATGATGTGGCAAGATATATTGTAAATAACGTTTGGCAATTTCATTGAGGGGTTTACCACATTCGGGAAACACTTCCAATTCAACGGTTGGCATACGTACCACAGCCATACTGCCACCGGCCAATAACAGAGCAGCAGCATCATCATCTAAGGGTTTTTGTAAAGTTTTGTGTGAAAGAGGGCAGGGTTTGAACACCGATGGCAAGGGTTCTTTGTTTAGTTTTCTTGATTTGGGCGATACCGTTTTAATAACCTTAAAATCATGCCACATATCTTCATCCACACACAGACGTGGGCATGTTTTGGGTGGATTTTTAACCTTACTCAGATAAGGTTTCTTGCGAAACTCATCATTATTGCCACGCACCCCCCTAAGCTTGACTTTATATTTACCCTCATCGACATCTAACATTTGATAGTAATATTTATTAAATTCGGTATTGATGAACGAGGCAGCCATCCAACCATTTCGTGTAAACGACATTGATGAACTATTCGATTGGGCTGTCAATTGCTGGCTATTCGGTTTACATTTTTGATAGCGAATCCGCTTTTGCAGCTCACGATATATACAGGCTTCATTGTTGATAATTGATAGGCGGGAATTTTTGGCAAATTTCTGTAGATAATTCTTCCTTTCAGCCACTGTACGAAAACGTAGCAGGTTGTCGGGTACAGCTGGCATATCCAAATGTGGAGGTTGGGTTTTTGGTGTCATTAGACCTTCCAAATCGGTTGGCCGAGATTGTACTCGCTTAAATGATTTATCCTTGTCGATATTATAGTCGGTTTCTAAGTCGTTTTGACGCATATATTCATTGAGTGTCTCGCTGACGAATATCGAATTATTGCTTTTGATGGAATTTGGCACAATGGGGGTCATTAACATGCCGGGTATACGCTCGTTATCATCGAAGCCCAAAAACCCATCACATGAATCCGAGGAATGTTCGCTGTGATGGTGTTGCTGGTTGGTAAGAGTATCATTTGAATTTGGTGTCTGCTCTAAGGGTCTTGAGCCCTGAACAACACTACTGCCCACTTTACTCATTAACATGTCCAGGAAATTTAGACCACTTTTCATGGGTTTTTCAATATTTTGACCATATACCATCATCTCATCTTCATGATGACTTTTTTCGGTTTTTTCATCCGATGCCAGTAGTTTTATGGGCTGTACATTTGCCTGTATGGTGGCCAACTGTTTTTCTGGTGTGGATTCTAAATTAATCTGCCAATCGTTGTGGCCACTGGTTGTTGATGTAACATTTTCCTCCAATGATGTTCTATTTGTGGTGGCTCTTTCCTCGGGCGACTTTTGACGACTATCAACAACATCATTTGTTGTAATCCGATTTTCATTATTGGCCTCAATCAACGGCTTTTGTCTTCGGCCACTTTTTAATAATTCCAATTGTTCTTTCAATTGTTTACTGACATCATCGACGGAATTATTGACTGGAGCAGCAGCCTCAGCGGGCTCTTTCTCTTTACAAATTGTCTCCTCAACATACTCTTCCGGTTCCTGAGTACGTTTTCGATAGAACACAATGCTGCGTGACCATTGTTTAATATTTTGCCGCATACGTTTTATAATCCGACGATTGGCCTGATCGAAAAGGACCCGCCGCAAACGATAGTGTTGCAAATAGATTCGATTCCGTCTCCGAACCGCAAAACGTTTTATAATTATACGCGGCCATGTTTGATACCATATGATTTTTTGTATATTTGCCAGATTATAGTGTAGAAATTCGGTGGACACCTTGTGTTTCCGTTGCAGGCGACGAAATAATGTCCACTCATGTTTATTGAATTTTATCATATTGCAGCAAGGATAATACCGGAGTTCATAATATCTTTAGGGTGATGATAATCTGCAAAAAGAGAGAGGAAAAATATGAAAAATATTTTCGAAAATTTTTAAAAATTTTAAATCTATAAGAAAGGCTTCAAAACACTCTTGCTATATAAACACATGCTTCAGATCCTGCCAGAAGTTTCACAAGTGTTTTTGCACTGACACACACCTATTGTTGTTTCATTTCAAAGTTCCACATCCTATTATATAAGCATCTTAAAAATTAAACACAAAATAACACTTGGCAACACTGAAAGTTTCGAGTTCTCTCCCACTCTCTTTCGATAGAATTTGAATACACCACGCTCGGCATTCGAAAAACATCACTTTGTCAAGCCACCAAGAAAGAAAGGATACTGAATATCTCTAAACAAAGGTAATTTGTGGTCCAAACAAATTAACGACTGCATCTGACTGCTTACGTGGTATATACACAAGTAATGTAAACAAATTTCCAATAAATGATAAATATATTGTCGAAAATTTTGGATATTTTTTCTTTGTAAAGCGTCTGTGTTCGATTGAATGCAATTTATGCAATTATAACCTAACAAATATGTTCCAATTCCACATAACAGTGAAAAGGGGTTGCCATGTGTTATTTGTATTTTTGCAAACTATGCAAAGTGAAACATGTTTGCATGAGTATACCACGTGACGTGACAGGTAGTTAAAATTCTATTTTCGTTGTTTGGATTGTATAGCATTTGATATTGAGTGAATTAAAAAAATGGCAATGGGAAATAAATTGTGTAAAGTAATTCAGATTTTTTTGCTGTATTTAATCAAATGTAGGTCTGATTTTCGAATGCACAAGATCGCCGACTGTATGACCGCGACAAATATCACTAAAACTTCAGTTGGGTGTTTATGTCAAAGTGGTTTTAATTAAACGTGTTTTAATAAAAGAGAGTGATTTAAAAAAATCCCAAATATTGTTTGCATTATCAAATCTCTTGAACATACGTCATATAAATAAAAAAAGCAGAGAAAAGCTGTATTTTCTAAAGTATTTACGTTTTCATTACATGAAGTCCTATTAAAAAACGAAAATCAGCTGTTTTTCTCAAATCTAATGTCAAAAATGTAGGCGTTGTTTACGTTTTCATATTGATAGTCAATTCACAATAATAGATTTTGACAGCACACTTGAGAAGCAGCTTGTCTTCCTGGATCAAGGCCTATTAAAAAGGTCATCCATGAAGATCAGCCGATTTTAAGTTTTCTGTCAAATCCATTATTGTGAATTGGCTTCCATTATGAAAACGCAAACAATGTCCAAGATTTGACATTAGACTTGTGAAAAAACACCTGACTTTCGCTTGCTGGGAAACATTATTAATAGATCTGGTCCCAGATGACATTTTCTTCTTCTGACATATGTTTTCATATGTCAATTTTGGGTGGAATTTAAAGTGGAATCTTGAAATTTGGTGTGAGGGTAACTTTTAAGGGGGATACACATACGAGGATTCAGGTATGTAAATTTGGCATTGTATGAAATATCAATTTATAAAGGAATATCATATTCAAACATGATTTTGGGCGCCGTTCTCCTTTATTCTATTACATTCAACAAAGTCAGCTTAACATGCCATGAATAAAGTCCTCTTATGTGTTTCCCGCTTTAGTCCGATAGTGGTAGATAGGGCTGTTTTTCGTAAATTCGTACTAAAACGGTACGAAAAGTACTGAATATGGTACCATTTGTATTAGGCGCAGGATCACTGATGGAAAGTAGGTTAGATGTACCAAAGGGTCTTTTTTTTGAAAATTCGTTGCGTATGAATGGATAGAAATAACGATTTGAAATTTGGAATACGAATCAAATTTGTAATGAGTATTACCGTCGAAATGTAGAATTGGGTCATGTAGGTAGTTTTGAAAATTTGTACTTATATGTACGAAAAGTACTAAATTTTGTACAATTTTAATATGGGTAAACCGATAGGCTGGGATCCTAAAATTTAATGTTAGGATCACTGTTGGCTATTAAGGAAGTTTTGGAAATGCGTACAAAATTTTGTAGAGTTTGGATTTGATGAACCGATCCTGACATTTGGAAAAACAATTTTTTCCTTATGGTATTAAATGTGATACAATTTGGATGAACCGATTTGAAAATAAGATTTATATTGGATTGCATTATGTTTGCATTTTCATCACCTGATGGAAAAGAATTCTAATTAGAATTATGAAAATATTCAATAAAAAATAATTGTAAAATAAATGCATACGTTAAGAAATGTCAGTTAACTGACAACTTAGAATTTGGTTTATCGGAAGAATGACATAAATAAAGGTATTCTCATGCAGTCATATGTTTCCATTTTTTTATATAATTGCCTTTGACAGCATTCAGCTTTCAAAATTAAAATTAAAATAATTAATATAATTAAAGTTTCCTTCTTCTAAAACTTATAAATATATGAAGTAACAACCATGGTTAAATCTTGAGAGCAATGTTCAGCTTTACAAAATATATTTTGTTTAATTTATTGAAAATATGCCAATCGACATCGAATAACATTTTATGGAATTTATTTTTCATATTATTTAAAATTGTTAGATTAGTTTTAAATCAAATAGAGTTGCCATAATCAAATTCTCAAATGAGACTACCTTTTGTAATTATGTCATGATTTTTCTTTTATGATATCGGAAAAATAGGAAACAATTTGAGTTTTGGGGCTCATCTGGGATTTTTTGTCACAGGTAGGTCTCGTAACCCTGATCACGAGAACATATGATTTTCATGGGGGAAGTCCATGCTTCCCAGATACGGAACTTTGAAGTTCCGAAATTCCTATGTTCGTAACATCGTTATTTATGAATCTATGAAGATTGGTATGGTTGTAAAGCATAACTAAAAATTATACAAAATTCGGCTAACCATCATTTTTTTGAAATAGAACTTCTTCGGCCTGGTATTTAATACTTTCTCCCATGGACAGGTGGAAAATTTGGCTACGAGAATAAAATATCTTTTATATAAATTTTATCTTATATAGCCGCCCTTAGGCCGGGGATTTAAGACTTTCAGATGGAAAATTCGGCTACATGATCAAATTTTCTCTTAAATAAACGTTTGCAAAATAATCAGGCTAAATCCCAGTTTGTTGTTTTTATAAAAAAATATCCGACAATATCCGCCATAATCGGTCCATAAATGTCGAAGTTATGAACAAATGCATTCCCGAACTACAGCTGTCCATATCTGGGGATATATGGATTTCCCCCATGAATGTCACATATTTTCGTGATCAGGGAGACGAGATCTACCTGTGTTAAAAATCAGAAAAATCTGAGATGAGCCCCTAAACTCAACTTAAGCCAAAAATAGTAGATTCTTGCAGTACGGGAACAGGCCAATTGTTAATAGCATTTTTTACTAAAACGTTCGTGAAAGGACAATCTGGCCTTACTTTTATCGATTTTATTTATATTAAAATGCTCTATAAATCACCATTTAATTTGTGATTATTTAGTTTGACATTTCCTTTGTACACATATATGTCAAATAAACTTCCGTAAATCAAGTTCGGTGTAAATGCACCATTAAATAATCTTAGTTAAAATCCATGATGCAATAATAAGGTGATGTATCACAACAAAAACTTTTTATTTTGTCTCGATCTCCTGTCAATTTTTTTATATAATATTTTACATGGTTGGCAACTCTGCACATCAAATTCAAGTTAAAGTTACACACTTTGGCAGTTAATCGAGACATCAGCTGAGCTAAATGGACTACCTATTTATTGTGCCATGGTTAAAATCCATGGCATAATTATACAACTTAGTCTCATGTTTTCAATTTTTTCATAAATTTGCCTTCGACAGTTTTCTGCTTTCAAAATAAAATGTGCCAATTGAATTTATTTTTAATTTTATTCGAAATTAACATGAATTCCAAATTAAAAAGGCTTGCCATTATCAATTTCTCAAATGAGACTACCATCTGTAATTATGCCATGGTTAAAATCATGGCCTATAAATAAGGTCACCAAGGGAGACCAGCTGATTATCGATACCTCTCAAGTTTGCTGTCAAAATGCATTATTGTGAATTGACTTCCATTATGAAAACGTAAACAAAGTCGAAATTTTTGACATTAGACTTGAGAAAAAACAGCTGTTTTCCGATTTCGATTGCTATCTTGGTGACCTTATTTATAGGCCATGGTTAAAATCATTCATTCCCAAAAAAACTTTTTCGTATACCGTTAAGTGCAATAATTTACAAACACATGGCAACCCTATATGTCCACTAGTTATACATACACACCACACTGCGATATTGAACAACTGATTCTTTAATTCTCTGGTTTCAACATTTGCAATTCTTTGTCTTTCCTTTAGTTCAAAATAAAAAACACTGGCATTCCTTTTTGCGAATACTTGTCTTAACGACAGTTTTACCTTTTCACTTAGCACATCCATTCACTTTTATGGTCAAAATCTTTTTTTCCCATTTATTCACTCATTCAATGATGATGACAAAATGCAAAGAAGATATTTGTTTGAAAATAAATAAAAGGAAACACAACACACAGAATGATAACACATGAGCAAAGGCAGTCACAACAACAACTGAACACCCACTTTGTAAATGGCGTGCGTGAAGTGTGGTGTGTGTTTGTGTACGTTTTCTATGTTTGCTTGCCGCCGCCGCTGCTACTACGGCTGGGTATCCACCAACAGCATAAAGTTATGCTTTTAAATTTCTCATCATCACATTTTTTCACATTTCCATTTTTTCGATTTCTAACTCTTCACTTTAGTACCTTTCGGTGATATCAATCAATGACCGACATTATTCGATTATGTTACGGTAAAAACGAACATCAAATACCGTTATTATTCCATTTAATTGTCAGACGAATGAAAAAATTAATGGGAAAAATCACGAACCGTGTGATCGCTAAACTTGCTTGTTTGTTTGACGTTTAATACACATCTGTTTCAGTTGTT